GTATTGGACTGGATAGTATTATTTGGGGAGCTGCATGAAATGATTATAAATCAAGGTGAAAATTTCAAAGGGACTTAGAGAAAGTCATAACCGTTTGGAAGAAGCAGTAAAAGAAGAAAGACAATTATTTTCAAAATCAGAGCGGTTGGGCATCTTCATTTGGAGACAGGCGCAAGAAACGTATTAGGAACATGTACTGGAGACTCCCTTAAAAGCAGAGCTGGGGTGCAGGTGGGAGAAACTGTCCAGGCCAGGGACAACAATGGGAGAGGGAGTTGTGCTGAGAAGTCTCCAAATTGAGCAAAGTCGAAGAGACCATTGGGGCAGAATAGAATGTGCAGACAATGGAAACTGTTGCTTAAACAGTCTCTGTGGTCTGCTTGCTTCTTTACGCTTCCTCTCTCAGGAATAAAACTACTGCTAGAGGGTGCTGAGCCTTAAGCTCCACAGCTATTACAGAAACTACACTCATGTGTGCTAAGGTGGCAGGATGGCTTCAGGCCTCCCCAGGATGCCACAGGCACCCTCCACTCCTGAGTGTTGTGCTGTTGTGCCCCTTGGTACACATTGGTCAAGAAGGGACCTCTGAAAATCATCCAGTCCAACCACCCCCTTAAAGAAGGACTGCCAGCATCACCAGATCTGGTCAGCTGTGGCTTTGTCTAGCCAAGTCTTGAATAACTGCAAGACTATTAAAGTTTTTCCCCAGGTCCAACCCAGACTGAGAATTGCAGTACAGGAGATGTACTTGCGATTAGGATTGAGAATGTTCCAAACAACAAGTAGTAATACAGGATGTTTCTGGCTATTAACAATGGGAAACTTTTTTTTTTTTTTGCCATTTCTCTGCCTTTGCATATTTTCCTTCTTTGTCATGTGTATAATGGTGCTAGTTGTTGAATAGTGCCAAGGTAATACTGAGTGATTCCTAATTGGCTTGGTATGAGCATTTTGACTTGCCTTGGAGTCAAATGAATGTTTGTTCCTTCTCTTATTTATACCAATGCTTCATTGCTTTGGGAGAAAGAAATCTGGATGTTTTTTCTAAATTGAGTGTCCTTTTCAAAATTAATTAAGCCTTCTTTAAAAGTGCAGAAATTTCCATTAGTGAGGATAAGACAGTAGCAGAGCCAGTCCAGTTTGGCATTCCAAATTCCAGGCTAGGACTGGCAATTTAAAATAGAAATTTAATGAAAAATGCTGTGAATGAAGGAGGCATAGGTCCTTATCTCTCATTTTCTTTTCTTAGTGAGATTTGTGCAGGGAATGCAAAATCTCCGAAAATAATCTTTTTTTTCAGCATATGATTTCACTTCAGGCCATATTAATGCTGAGTGAAGATTTACAGCAGAAGAAGAGAGTACAAATTACTAAAATAGCGTAAGTTGGTCATAGGGCCAAGATGTAATTTTCTGAGTAGAAATCAGCTATAATAAGCCTAAAGAGCATTGTGGATCAGTGAGAAAGGTGATGTGGAAACATTTTTCTCTCTACTAGGCCCTGTAGTTTTGAATATGCCACATGTTGAGGCTACCTCAATACAACATCATGTCACCAATAAGATCTGCAGCATGACTGTTGTTTTCTTTTAGTCAAAGTTGTTGCTAATTGATTAGTGCTCCCTGTCTCAGTCTTTCAGGTTTTTTGTCACTTACCCATCCCCTTCAGAGACAACAACCACTCATGCATGAATGTCACCACAAATGTGACCAGCCTTGCTTCGGAGCTGTCACTTGTTCCATCCTATGCACTATGCAGCCATGCACATCTAGTTTTCCTTTTAGTCTGGTTTTCAGATTATTTTTATAATCAGATCAGCCATACAGGAGCAAATGATAAAAAAAACCAAAAAAACCCAAAACCAAACCAGACAACGATAGTAGGACTTGTTGAATAGAAATCCAGGTGGAGCCCTTTCCCAAACATTCCAATGGCTGTATTTGGCATGCATGAATTCACTCTTGCAGCTCCAAACCTATGAGTCCTTGCGCATTCCTTAGGCTGACATGAAGGGCGATACCGCTTTGCTTGACAGATGAGATTTTGCTCAAAATAAGAGACTTCTTTTATATTTTTTCTAGAGAGCTAGATGCTGTCTTTCAATCATTTTCAGTCCTTTGATACTTTCCACTGTGGAGCTGTTTCTTACATTTTCCAGACTGTCCTCCAGTGACAATTATTTACAGCCATGGTGCTACTTCCCTTCTTGACCTGAAAGGTCAGCAGTGTCTGCCTTTTGAGAAAGCCATGATTGAGTCTTTCCTCACTCAATGAGTCTGAGGCTGCTAACAGTCTTTGTAAAGACTACAATTCTTTCTCAGTAATGTATCTTTTTTTTTTTTTTTTTTTTTTTTTTTTTCATAAGCTCCCTTCGGGTCTTGTAATAGTCAAGCTAACGTGTATAGGAACCACCAGTTTTGTAACCTCCCTTAATGCATTGGACATCTGCAGGTTTCAATGCTGTCAAGTGCTGCATCCTGCAGCTCTCAATGCTACCTTCACCGTAATGATTGTTATTACTTCCCTGGCTTCTGTGCTACTCGATGTGCACTGCAGAAATTATCTATGAGGTTTTTATTCACATCTTGTAATTGTATTTACAGGCTGTAGAACTATTCAGTCAGCAATGGTCTCTGTAGGAGTCTGTCAGTATAATTTTTGTTTGGCTGTTTGTTTTAGTCTGACTTCCTAGGAAACAGAAGCTGAAGCCCCACTCTTCCTCCATAGCTTTGGAATTCATTTATCCATTTCAGCAAAATGACAAAGATGTTATATAATTATGCTCGCTTAAAGAGAAGCTAGAGTGAACATTTGTCTATGCCATCATAAAATTGGCATCCAGAACAATACTTACGGATTTTCAGCATCCTTTTCACCTTAAATACCAGAGAATTTAAACATCAGTCCAAACTTCTCTCTTGTGTGGATTCTCTATTGTCTAATATGGTCAGCTCATTTTACAACCTTAGTATATTTCAGTTAAAACAGTAATTCAACTGCAAGACACAAGTAGTGGGCAACAGAGCTTCATAAGATCCACTGTGGACAAAACTATTTGTTTTGGATTTTAACCCAAATTTTGGGATACCCGAATATAATTCTGCTGCAGAGATATAAGCATACTTATTAAATAAAAACTGTAGTAATTAACCATTTTCTACCAAGATGTGAAACTGTTTGGTTAATCTGAAATGGATATATGCATAAACTGTGAACAAATATTTAATTCCATCATGCTCTTTACATCATTATTATTATTATATTATACGTTATACATTTACATTATTATACATATAAGAACAATAGGAAATAGTTAATGATCCTTAGCTTCAAGTCCACATGAACTGCCACAAACATATGAAGACCTTTAGTCTAAAGTAAGTATCAGGGCAGTTCGGCAAAGTTTAACTTATTCCTTGGTGACCTAAATATTCAATGTGTCTTTTTCCAGAAGAAACTGTAACATTAGAAACCCTCTGAGTATTATTTGGTGGGTTTGGCTAGTGAGTGTATGCATGTGAGCAACACAAAGCGCTTGTCTGTGCGCATATGCTCTTCTCAGTGTTAATTGCTGCTCCTTATGTATTTAATATCATTTAAATAAAAGGCAGATGTGTTTTGGCCAAGATCTATGCTTCTGTGATGTCTCACAGCTGCCATTACGGTGGTTCTCCATCATTAGATAACAGAATCACAGAAGAGTTGAAGTAGGAGAGGAACTCTGGAGTCTGTCTAGTCCAACCACCCTGGTTTCCAGGATGAACTGCTCTATCTTCCAGGGCCCAAGGTGAAACTGACTGGCCTGTAGTTGCCTGGTCCTCCTTCTTGCCCTTCTTGAAGATAAAAGTAACATTTTCTTTCCTCCAGTCTTCAGGCATTTCTCCCAGCCACCATATTTGATCAAAGATTATAGAGAGTGGCCTTCCAATGACAACTGCAAGCTCCCCCAGTGCTTGTGGGTGCATCCCATCAGGGCCCATGTATGTATGTCCAGTTTGCTTAAGTATTCCCTGACCAGATCCTCTTCCACCAAGGGTACATCTTCCTTGCTCCAGCCTTTCCTTGTGTTCTCTGGAACCTGGGATTCCTCAATCAGATTGGATGTGGTTATGTGAATTCATTCAGACTGTTGCCATGGCTGAAGCTAGCAGGTCTGATGGATAAGCTTGGAACTACATTTTAAGTGACGAGTGTTTTCTGTGTGAAAACAAAAACTTAAGTAGATAGCTAAGGTCACTTTAAAACACCTAACACCTGCTACAAGTTCTCCAGGTGGTGCCTGTGAATGGGCCAGAATATGTGGAAAAACTACCTAGGGCTTTATAGTCAATACTAACAAGATCCAAAAGGACCGTTAGAGAATCTTTTTGTGCATGTCAGTGACCCATGCTAAAAATCTCTCTGTGGATATAGTAAGAAGATATGGGTTTAATCAGGGACTTGTACTCATGCATTCCATTACTGATGTGGCTGGAACACACATTGCCACACTGGATAAGATGCCATTAAAACTATACATTTATTACTGTTTCACCAATTCAGACAGTGGATAAATCTATCATCCAGACTTGCTGCTTAATAACCAGCAGTCATAGTCCTTCTAATGTAACACTTTCATTAGATCAGAAATAGGACACACAAAAGGATAGCAAATGATCCTGGGAAGTCTTTCCTAGACAGATAAATGCTACTAACAATAAAGTAAGTTGTTATTATTAGTACTGTGATGTTAATGAAAATCATGAACAATTACCTGCTTTTGTATAGGTTGGGTGTTTTTTTTTTAATTTTTAATTTTTTAGTGCAGAAGACTTTAAAAAAGACACCCACACAGTTTGCAGAAGTTTGAGAGAAATGGTTTGTATTATTTATGCAGCAGAAATTCTCAGGAAGCAGACTACAGAAAAAAAAAAAAAAAAAAAAAATTTGCTTGTTTAAAACTTTTGAGTAATGGTCACACACTATATCACAAAATTGATGTTGTTTACGTTTTCTTTTAGGAACGTCTCTTGATGAGTCTTTTGCCCAGGAATGTTGCAATGGAAATGAAGGAAGATTTCCTGAAGCCTCCCGAAAGGATTTTCCACAAGATTTACATTCAAAGACATGACAATGTTAGGTAGGATTGATGTAGCCTGTGAAATAATTTAAAGCAGAGAATATTCAGTAGAAATACAGTGACATGCAATTGCATGGAGAAAAAAACCCAAGCAGTACAGTGAAGATTTGTCATCTATGCAGAGGGGGAGAATGGGTGCACTGGGGAGACTTAATCATCTTCTCAGAAGATAATGGTGAATCAATAAATGGCTTAGAGTAGTAGCACTGGGAGGTAGACAACTTTTTTCAAACAAGTATTACATTTTGGGTGAATAGGAGTATTTATTTTGCATGGTAACTTTTACACATTTTTATTTTCCTGACAGTAAGATGCATTACTTTTAATGCAATAAATTTTCTGGGTAATAGCAGGGAAATACAGAAAGAAAGTGTGTTGTAAGCTTAAAAAAATGTGCATTTGTCCCTGTCATATGAGCTCAATTCTACTTCTTGATCTTGTTCAGTAAATGACTGTTGTGCAAGTGCCCTCATTTATTATGGTTGTTGATAAAGTGCCTTCTCATTTGCTGTTCTTCCCTGTCACCCCAAACTCCTTAAAGGCCTTATTTGATTGGTGCTGTTGTCCCATACTGCCTCTAGCTACTTTTCCTTCAAGTGCCTTGTTTCCAGACCAAAAAAAATGTCAAAGAGGTTTACTTGGTGCCATCCTTGCACTAGCCAAGGTTCAGGTTTAGTAAGTGATGCTGCAGAACTGTGTTGATTTGCACCACATACTCATGTGGCAAAGGAGTAAACTTCCTTAGCACCTCCTTCTCTCCCTCATCCACTGGTAAATTCATTCTGGGGTTCAGTCTGTCTCCCATTGAGCTAAGACTAATATTTGTGAGGACCATTTCCTAGTGAGTAAACTGTTGCAACTAAAAGCATTTATGTCAGTAAGGGAATCAGAGATGGCTGTGATCAGAGTGTTTCAAAGACAAACACAGACAAATTAGGTCAGTTTTACACTGTAGAATTAAACATTACTGAATTTATTCATTAGCAGCTCACTTCTTGCTAATGGTTAAATCTTACATAAAATGTTGTTCTCATCACTATCTATACAAAAGTCTTGGTCTTTAACAATCAATTTAAAGTTAGCTTCAAGTGTACAGTACCCCAGAGCTGATGTTGCAAAGTTAGCATTGTTTGTTAGTCTTTGATGGTTCTCAATTGCCAAAGTCAGTCTTGAGAGCTCCTGAAGGAGCAAATTCAAGATCAAAGTTGTCTTGCTCCTTCTCTGTTTTTTCTCGTTTACATCTCGTGCTTTTATGCTGTTGCCTCCCACCAACACCATTTGTCTTGTTTTCTTTTTCTGGCCAATCTTTCATCATTGGATGATGTTCTGTCTATTTGCAGCCACTTGCGCCTACCTTGTATGCTGCCTGCCAGATTTTTGCTGCTTGGGTGCCTTCTACTATCTTTGTCTCGTTGGTGATCACATTGCTTATATACTTATAAAAAATTGTGTCTAGTTATGCCATCACAGTGCTGTGAAATACACCTGTGTATATATACTGTTAGTACACTTACATACAAGTTCAAGGCAAGCCAGTGACAGTTATACCCTCATCAGTATATTTATACTGTGTATGGGTCACAGGTCTCTGCACTTGTTACAGTGTGGGTAGTCTTAAACAGCACTGTTTTGCAGCTGAACTGGTTGATTATGGTGCTTCTGAGTCCTCTCCTGTGCTGAGATCTGTTTTATTTTCTATATTAAATGGTGTTTCACATAACCACTAGGGCTGCTGTGGCTTACTCACTGCTTCAATGTGGAGTTCATAAAAGATTTTGAACCTGAGTATCCTGTCTGGAGAGGTGAATTAATTCTCTGACATTAAGAGAGTAGTTTGGGGCAAATGGAGGCAAAGTAAGATGGTCTCATTTTAATGTTAAAGGGAAGAGAACTGGAAACAGGAGACCTCCCCTCCCCATCTGTACTATAAGAAACTGTATTACCTTTTATTTCAGTAATGCAACTATCATATGAAAATAAGAAGGGGGGAGGAATAGTGTCCCAGTAAATACCCAGCAAGCTGTTGCTAGCAGGTCCTGGTACACTAGGGTTTCACCCCAGGAGCTGTGTGAGTCTGTAGATCTGAACGATACAGGGGGAAGCCCCTGCAGGTGTGACCCTGACACGAGTGTGGAGGGATGTGCTGCTGATGGTCAGTGCCAATAATATGTGTGCTTTACCTTTTTAAGGAGATGGAAACAATTCTTTTTCTTTTGAGTAGTGGCAGTTCATTGCTATACCAGAAGGACCTAAGAGATCACTCCCATATTATCATGACTTGCCCTCATCCCACCAAGCTTCTGTAAAGCACCACTATTAAAACAAACAAACAAAAAGCCCCTATATAGTTCTAAATTCCTGGAGTTTTTAACCCCAAAGATACACAGTGGAAAATAAGAAAATAAGCTGCACGTTTACCTTTCTTTATAGCAATGCTTTCTTTTTCTCCTAGCAAATACCTGGAAGTGTCAGAACATTGTCCTCCAGAAAGGATAGGCAGGAGGAAGTAGGCATGCAATTTCCACTCCTCACCTGTTAAAAAAAACCCAAAAAACTCTTGCCATTAACAAAAAACATCTGTTTCAGTCTTCTAAATAGCTGCCTGAAAAAAAGCACTAGATCTTGCATGTGAAAAATAAGACATTCATATAGTTACCTTCTTTACCTTCTCCCAGAAAAAACACAGGGGTACACATTACAGTGGATATATCTATAACCCTGTAAGAAGTTAATGATGGGCTGGGAAGAGATAATGGCATTACAGATGCACCATGCAACAGCCCTGGTGTAGCAATTAGTTGGTAAATATTTTTCCAACTATCAAATAGTTGTTGAATGACTGACTGCGACTGACTGCTCTTCCAGAAGGGCAGGGAAACATTTGAGGCCAGAGCCCTCAGTGTTGTGTCATCCTTTGATGAGCTTTTCCCAGGTCTGTAGTAAAGAGAGGAATTAATTTTGCTCACAGACAACTTTCTTTACTGAGAAATCATTTCCGACCTCCACCTCAGTACCCAGGACATTATTTTTCTTTCTGCAGTAGAAAGCATTAAACTCCTTCAACATCAATTGAAGATTTTTGTGTGGAGAGGGGGCCAGTTTAAAACTTTATATTTCCATTTGAGACTGTTCTAAGGGCATCAGTGAATATGGCCCATAAAAGAGCACTAAATAGATGGCTTCCTATGCAGAATGGCAGGAACTTGCAAGGGCCCTGGGAACTCTAGTGTTTTGTGGGCAAAAACCCTTTTCTCCTTCAAAATGCTCACACTTAGCAAACGAAAAATGCCTGCTAAGGACATGTACAACCTCTTCAGAGAGAAAGATCACTCGGCCCTTACTTTTGAAAGTAAGATAATGGTACAAGAAAAGGTTGTTACCCATTCCAACCCTCTGTATGTATTTGTGCCTGTGCAAAAAGGAACAAGAAATTTTTTCCAGGCAAGTTTTATTATCTCCTGTGTACACTGTGTAAAGAGTAGTTGTTAAAACAGAATATATTTATCTGTGGAACCTTCCCAAAGAAGATGTCAAAAGGAACTGTTACAAGTTGATGAAAATCAGCCATCCTTTGCCAGCAAATTATTCACTCTACAGATACACTGCTTCTTTTCCGATGTTTTGTGTGGAACACCTGAATATTACCCAATGATCTTGAAGAAGGTATGACCTTTTTTTGTCAAAGAGGAAGAAATGAGACTTTTTGTACATCTGCGACCTTGTAAAGTTTTTGAACAGAACTGCTGTACAGTATGAAATGAGTTCATGTGTTTTAAATGGAAGCAAACAAGTTAATGCAAATTTTATATGCAAAACAAGACATGCAAATACACATCCAATGTACAGCATGAACCTGGCGAGGACATGAAATTCAAGCATCAGGAAGGTAAAATAGTCACAGCCGGTGTAATATCTGTGTCTCATGAGAGGGAAATAGTCCATATACAGTTCAGGAGCCATTTCAACATAGTACAGGTGTTTTCTTACTGAGGTGAGCCCAGACAAGGTCATCATGAAGGATGTGAGGACCAGATGTCGTGTGAAGATTCCCCAGCAGAGCAGCTCTTCTGTGATGCCTGCAAAAGGTGTGCCCAGGTGGAGGACCTTCTGCAGCAGGTAGTTGAGCTGTGGGAGGTGGTGAGAAGGCTGTGTAGCATCAGGGAGGCTGAGAAGGGGTTAAATAGCTGGTTTCAAGTGCAGGCTGCATACACCCACAGCCAAACAGCCCAAAACTCCCCCACTGGAACACATGGAAGGGAGGTGGGGAGGCAGTAATGCAGAAGAATGGGAGCTTGCAAGGGCAAGGACCTGCAGGAGGAAGACTTCCCCAAAGCCTGAGGTGGTGCCCTTGCACAACCATTGCACTTCTCTACAGACTGAAGCGGAAAGGTTCATCACATCAAGAGAGACACTGGAGCTAAGTAGGGCAGCCCTATCCGCTCCCCATATAATAACCATCAGAACTAAGAAAAGGCAACAGGTGATGGCAGTACACGACTCTTCTGAGAAGTAAGGAGGCACCCATCTGCTGACCTGATGCACTCTCTAGAGAGGTGTGCTGCTTACTGTGGGCTCATATCAGGGATAAGTGAGGTCACTGAGCCTCGTACAGTCCACTATTATCCAATGCTGTTCTTTCATGTGGGCACCAGTGATACAGCCAGGAGCAGTCTGAGGAGTATCAAGAAGGATTGCAGAGCCCTGGGAGTGGTAAGGGACTCTGGAGTGCAGGTAGCTTTTTCATCAGTCCTCCCGGTCAAAGGGAGGGGGTATGAAAGCACCAGCTGAATCTGGCAAATCAACAACTCGTTACAGGACTGGTGCCACAGCCAGAGGTTTGACTACTTGGACCATGAGACTCTGAGAAACCAAGTCTACTGGGGGCTGATGGGGTCCATCTGTCAGAGAAAGTGAAGACCGTCTTTGGTCATAGGCTTGCCAGGCTGGTGAAGAGGGTTTTAAACTAAAGTTGCCAGGGAAAGGGAATCTCAATCCACCCC